GAGGAGCTGTAGACGTTATTTTACAATCTTGTAATTTATGCATAACTTCAGCCACCTTGGACTAGAACACTTCAGTAATATGTCCTATTGGTTCTTATCCTATTGCTTCTCTAAGAATGCTGGCACTTAGCTCTCTGGCATTTCAGGGTCCATGACTGTATTTGCATTACTTTTAACTAATCAAATTTAATTTGACTGCCGCTAAGATCTAAGATAATGACATTTAGATTTTAAAAAACATTTTGTTCATTTAAATCACCCAGTCTTATTTGAAGACACTAATGAAATTACTTTGGAAATAAAATTCTAGTGTTAGAAAGTTCAGAAGTCTGGGCATAATACCAAGGCTTTAGGCTTGAGCTACTAGAGGAAACCCTGGTGCCTCCTCTATTCAGTGTGTAAAATTTAACTAGAAATAATGAAAATTATATATTTTGTAGGATATAAAGATATTGTTATAGTTTAAAATGGATTGCCAAAGGCTGAGTGAGACAGTCGTGTAGAGACAAGCAAACAGCAGGAGGCACATTATAATTTGTTCACAATAAAAAGGATGTGAGGCTGTTTTTTTTTTATTTTTTTTTTCTTGCTCAAATAATACTAATCTTTTTTGATCGTAATGACAGATTATAATTTGTTCTGCCAATAGGAACCACTCCAAAATAGATTTAGGGGAACCGGAATGAGCAAAGTTCATAAGAGAATAATCCCTAGCTGAAGGTTTCTCTAGAACTTTAAGCGACCTACCACATTTATGTCTGTGTTCAGCATATCAGCATACACCATTTAACATTGTACTGATTGAAAGAGAGAATGTCTTCAATTATTGTATTTGCCCTCTCCAAAGCAGTGTTTCATTGAGAAATCAATTCTTATTTTGGTCTTTTTTTCCATTTAATAGTTATTCCAAGACAGTTATCTTGCTGACAGAGCAGACTTGGAATCTGGTGTGGAGGAACATGATTTTTTGTTTAAAAAGGAGTTTTTGCAATGTTTCAAGTATAACATGCTTATTACAGTGAGGTTTCTCTGCACTTTGCAGAGTTTCTGTATGTAAATCAGACCAAGTACATTCTAGTTATTCCTCTGACTTCCCACTAATCTCATGTCCTGTGTACTTACATGTAACACAGCAGCTTTCCAAGTGGAACCACCAGCACTTCCACCACCCACTTTTTTTTTTTTTTAAAGGTTCGCATTCCCCTCAAGAAAACAGTATCAGATCAGCTTTCTAAAATCCTTCTTGTTGAGCTAATTCGGTGGCTGTTAGCAGCTCAGGCCAGTTGCAAAGCTAGTTATTGCAGAAGACAGAACAACTTCTGAAACAAGAACTTCCATATTCCCACTTATTTCTGCTTTTACATAAAGGATATATTTACTTGTCTACTATTCCCTGACCACTGCAGTAATATACATAGAGGAAAAAATGAGGAACTACAGCAGCTGCTGGTGGAGCTGATTTCTCTCCCACAGTGTGCCCATTAACTCTACTTCTTTTTGTAATTTGGAAGGGATCCTGGTTACCTTCAGCTCTCCAAAGATGGAAAGACAGGATTTCTTGTCCTTTTTGTGTCAAAGCTAAAAGAAACTCCTTGACAGTATTCCACAAATATATTACAGTGAAGGACACACTACAGGCTAGGAAGGCCAACAGATCTGTAGTAGAGAGTACAGAAACAATAAAGAATAGAGATGGCAAGGGTACTTCAGTTTCAAAGGTCACAAATTTTATTTGTTCAAGAGGAAAATGCAAATACGCATTCAACTTACGACTTCATTCAACATACGACTTCAACACTGTACTGCTATTTGTGCACTGTACTTCCTTACTGCAACTTCACAATTCAGCTGTTTCTCTGGTGAGAGAATGTACCATGAACCACAGGGCATGTGTAGTCCTGACAATACCAAGAGTAGTGCCAGTGTACCTGACAAAAGGAAAAAAAAAGAAAAACAAACAACAGATGGGAGCCCCTTAATCCATTTTCATCTTCCTTGACTCTCACAAAGGTAAATTGGTATCTGTCATCTTGACTGTTGACTGCTGAGCATCTCTATTCTTTCAACATTCCCAGCTGTGAGAAGCAGGGCTGTGCTGCACACCACTGATTCATGTGACACATTTCCACCCCTCATTTTAAATGTAAACTTCATCACCCCTCCTCAAGCTCCACGTGTGGCTGTGGCATTCAGTACTTCCCAGTTCAGAAGCATCATGGGGTAGGAAGCCTGTCTTGCTCTGATTTGGCCTAGTTCTTAAATGATTTTTTTTAATAGGAAAAACTCCTGTAACCTGCCTAAGAAACAGAAGTAATGAAATTCTGGCCCATTTAATGATAAACAGAAACAGTTCTCACACCTTCAGTAGTACCAAGAATATCAGAACATTGAATTAGCTCTGACTCTGAAAGACAAAGGGGAATTAAGCAACGGGGTCACTTAGACTGGCTGAGGAGTAGAGTGAGTGTAATCAATATGGCATAAAGACACAAGCGCATGCTGCACAACCAAATATCAAAGAATGTTAACAGCGGTTAAAATGCATGAAAATCCAGGGCAGGGAAATGCCAACGCTTGTTCTATGAACAAGATATTGAACTAGAAATATCTAAGATATACGTATGTAGGGAAAAATACATAAACCTGTAATAGACCCTAGTAGAAAGATAACGTGATACTATTTAAAGAGCAAGTCATAATGCAGAAGTGACAATATATTGAAAAATTACTGTTTTAAGCTACTGCAAATATACAGTGTATGGTATATAATGTTATACTTAAGAAGCTGAATTTTGTTTGTGTCACTGGAAATCTTTACATTCGTGTTTTTAATAATTAACAAAAAAAGTTACGCTATTTCTCTTCAATGTAAAAAGTAGTATAGAAGTTACAAAATAAACATACAGCGCAGCTACAGGCTACACCCAGCAGAAAACCGGGACTTGCTATCCCATTATCAGATATGCTCACAGAGGATTACTGTGAAGCAAGACTGCATGTAGCAGTGCCACCTGGTGACCAATGCTATGCCACGTTCCTCTTAAAAACAATTGCACAGACATTACAAGTAATATAATTTTCATATTTTTTTTCAACCATTTACACACTTACCTTTGAAACAGTAAAGTATAAAATTGAAATTGAATATTCCAATTTATACGTATAAGGATACTTTGTAATGTAAACACTAAGTATTTGGAAGCTATGGCACCTTACACCTAGCCAGCAGAAACAACTCTCACTTCTAAGCCAGGCAGAACATAGTAAGTCATAGGACAAAAAAGTATCTCAGGGAAGAGAAAACCTAGAACCACTAAAATCAGCTATCTGAGAAAATCAACCACTTCACCTTCATTATGTTCCCAATAACAAAGTCACAAATAATTAAGAAGCATATCCCAGTGCACTGGGTCTGGCTGGGATGTAGTACACTAACTCAGTTCAAAGAGCAGGTGACTTCTTCACCTTCCCCAAGGAAAGACTTGAAAACAAAGTCTTTGAGAGCAGCCAGGACTAGGCACACCAAATGCCAAGCTTCATCCCTCTAGTAAATTGCTTCCTATGGGCAACTCTAGTGCCAAGAGAAAAACTGGAAGAAAGTGCATTGACAGTGCTACGTGGTAGAACCAGATACAAACATGCAGCCCGAAGTGCATGGTGACAAGAAAATTTAGTGGTTTATGAGGTGACTGAGCCTCCTACAGGCATCAGGAAGGGAGCACTGTGGCAGCACACCACGCACGCTAAACCCAGCTCTAGGCATTTACTGTTATCACGTGCTGACATGCACATACCCAGCTTCCTAAACTAAGTGCACGGCCATTGAGCTAGCAGCCCCACCTAGGGTCATATGATATTTGTGAAGTGAGTGCCACTATGAAAAGAAAAAAAAAAACACAGGGTAAATCAACCACAGGGCACTGGATAGAGGCTGTTGAATGATCCCTCAACCTGTTGCAAGACTTCTTAAAAAGCAGGGTGTTTTTCTCTGCAGGTAGATTAAATGACTCAGGTACCTTTTTATGTTATTTTGGTACCTACAAAGGCTAAGCAGAATAACCCTGCATGCCTCTGCAAAGGACTGGAAACTGCCCTCATACTCATGCTATGAGAGGAATAAAACAAATATGATATGGAGGAGAGCAAGCAGGAAGCAGCACAGTTCTTCCTCTCCACCAAACTGCATTCCCTACTTTCATTTTTAGTGGCTCAAAGCTAATGTAACTTCAGGTGTTCAATCCAAGTGAAAAAGCTTGGAAATAGGAAAGTTTTTTAAACAGGGAAGGGGACAGGTTCACAGTGAACAAAGAGTTACACACTTCTAAGAAGGCAGCACAACTCTGTGGAAGTAAGAACAAAGTAACAGGGACACGATTTTTTTCCTTAGGCCATGACCAGGCCAAAACATGCAGCTAAATATATACATGTATACCCCGTTAGTGCACAGGAGTCATTTATGTATTCTTTTTGTGAGCATTTTTTCCACTTTTATACCGAATACCATTCTGCAAGGGAACTGGCATGTTTAAAACTAATTAAAAAAAGCCATGCAATGAAGACACACAGATGTTGCCAGGAGATTCCTTCATTATTCATTCCCCTGGCCTTGTTTACTGTGTAATACCCTTTCTTCCTTCTTCCTTTCTCTTGAACTGTTGTAGCAAAATGTTGAAGAGAAATGGTATACTTGTGTCCTAAATAAGCTTAAGAAAACTACTTACATGCAATTTCTTACAAAACTCATTGATTTCATGTCCTCTTTTCCAGACTCGATATAGCCTTCTCTCTAGCTATAATCAATATAAATATTCCTAGCAGCCTGCAGTTATCCCTCAGTTCTTTGCTACCCAATCTCAGAGAACAACTGCATTTGTCTGAACCTCATCCTGATCTAGTGAGGAAAGAAGTTTACGCATAGTCTAATTCTGAATTTTTCCCATGACAGTATTTACAAGAGACTTTCATGCAGTAGGCTTAAAACAAAACACAGACCATCTTCATCTTTTGTTATCTGTATGTTTATTGACTGATTGTAAACTTACAAAAGTATCACATCATACAACTTTGTATCAATCAACAAGTACAATTAAGAACACACAAGGAACTCCCAATTCTCTTGGAAAAGATCCGTATCCTGCACATATCAAACAACTCAACAGCTTGTTTAAACATGTTAATACTGCTATCCTGAAACTTTTTTCCAGAAAGTATGTAGTTCTTCCATTATACAGTATATGACTTCCTCGTGATAGTGATTAGGACAACCCTTACAGCTTGTGTACGCAGCCAGCTTCTAATCACATCTCCTAGATGTCCATAAACACCTCTGAGAATTCTCAGAGGGTTGTGCTGCACACATACCTAGGCAACTTCCAGCCAGCATTACGACCTGCTAGAGTTCAGTGATACTTCAAAAAAAAATTCCTTAATATTTCTAGAACATTTGACTTGACAAAATGTAACAGTTACACTTCTGAGGCTGCTTTTTCCTCCTGGCAATGGACCAAACAAATATGGTAACAAAACATTTCCTCATTACTATCTAGTGTTTACTAATTTGCTGTTCTTAGAACTTAAGACATGATTAACTGAATCTTTTTTCCATCCAGTTCCAATGAAGGCACAAGGAAGGCACAAGCATTTCCAGCTATATGAAGAACTTAACTGCATCAGAAAAAACTGAAGTATTTGTAACTCTCCAGCTTTACCAAAAAAAGTATTTTTTAATTCTTACAATGATCAAAAACAATTCACTAGACCAAAGCATGACAGTGTTTTCCAGTTGTGTTTTACACCCCAACTTCTGCACATCAAAAAAGTAGTAAAAACATCAGCTGCTCACTTTTCCACAAAGAGGGTTTTTTGCACCACAGTCAGCCCCAAGCCCCTGCAGACAGACAAGGGAAAAGGCAAATGTGAAATTTTTTCTTGAGACCTTTTGTGACAATCCATTGAGAGTGGCCCAGAAAACAGCATTCTGCTCTCTCCAGCCTTGAAGGAAACACCTCTGACTACAGCAGCACAGAGGAAGTATTGTCCACACCAATGGCCAAGACTTTTTATTCTTATATTAAAGATAACAGTGTTTCACTTAATTGGGTTCTAAGAAATACCAAGAATTGTTTTTATGTACTATGCATAATGCTGTTAGAGAGATACCCCTTCTATATTTGAAGGAGTGCAGTATGCTTTGAGTACAATGCGTTGCAGTCTATTTCTCATGAGACAAAGACAGACAAAACTTGCATTAATGACTTCCAGCCAGCTTCTAAAAAGTTAATACAAATTTTTATATGGATCAAAAAGGTATGCATTTTCACTTAAGGTGGCATGAAATCACTTGAGGATCTGCCCCAACAGAACTGGTTCTTGGTCTCTACCATCCTAAGTTAAAACATAAGTTTCAGGCTGCTTATTACTAATTTCCTCTCTTCAGACTTTCCGCTCTACTACATCACCAGCAGGTCCTGAAATGCAACAGTAGTGTTCTTATTCCACCCCATTTGTACTTTTGGTTTTTAGTAAAACTCAAAAACTGAAATGGAAGAGTGAGCATGCTAGCACACCGGATTTTACCCCCTCCCCTCCCTTTGAAAATGTCCCCATTCTCCTTCAGAATCCAAGTCAAAATTTGACTGGTTCGGACACCGTAAGAGCAAGAGAGCAACACAGTCCAGAAGATTCCTGCTGCACAATACAGCAAGCACAGAAATCTTGCTGACTTTTAGTACACTAATTTTTCTGATCTTCTTGGCTAACACACCAGCCTGAGCTTTCAAGTTTCCTCTCGATCTTTTTTAGTTCAGAGCACAGAGTGAGACAACTACATCAATATTCCAGTTTAATTAGAAGGCAAACTGCTAATCAAAACATTAGAGTGCCACAGATTAGAATTGGATTAAATACAAAGGCAGAAATATATTAAAATGCTTTGAATTTAGTTAACTTTCCTTTTTATATTTAAACCTAGCCTACAGACTTGATTTCAGATACTAACATTTAGATCTCCAGAGAAGTTTTAATGCATTAACTCAGTGTTCAGAAGTCTGGGTGGTGAGAAGTATTTAAAAATAACCAAGCTGTTAAGACAAATACACGATCCCATTAAAAGAAGACTGGAAGCCTGGTCTGCAAATACCTGCAACTAACTACATGACATTGCTACTTTTAAGGAATATGTACACTTGTTATGTTGTAATTTTATATACTCTATAGGTTAATGATCTCATTGTTTCCAAGCACATCTTAAATTTACAGACAAAACTGTTATCATGGTATTCACACTCCTTTCAGTATCTCCTTAGTCAAATTAAGATTTGCATGTCTTTTTGCACTCCAAAGCTAGATGTCTTCTTTCTTAAATGTACTTTCTTATTCTTGGATAGTAGAAAGTCTATAGACACTTCTCTGTACACATCCCGATTTTTTTTTTAGGATTAAGAAAACTGACCAGTTTTACAAATGTTGTAGAGTTGACTTCAAGTATTCAGAAGCAAAGACATCTTCAGAGCAATGCAAGGATGATGCTGACAGAAACATATGATGCTGCTGATACCTGCCGAAAGGACAAGGATGCATACCTTGCTGACCAATGGCACTTGTTCCTTTTGCAGAACAGAAAGCTTTCTGACAGACTTGTATCAAGTAACTTTAGTGCAAATAAGAGTTCTGTTCAAACTGTTTCAAGAACAGCTGCCATTTCCTTGAACTGTCTGACGAAGTTCTGAAAAGGAAGAGTTAAGATAAATTTCAGTTGCACAAAGAAAAGCTTGACCTGTTGTTCAAACTAGGACAATAGACAAAAATCACTTAATCCATTGTTTGCCTCTTTCCTCCTGTTAGAATTTTCATGTTGACCTGGAAATTTCTGCATTTTTTTGGGGGTTGGTTGGAATTCAGGCACATTCACTATTAAATCTACACAGTTGGTGACTATTTGCATGGCTTTGCTTATTAATAGGAAAGGAGGCCATGGGGAAAGAAAATACCCTAAGTAGCTGTCACACCACAAAAGAAAAGAAAACAAGGTATCCCATGCAAACACTTGTAATCCCAGCTGAAATAACCCATACTTCTCACATACAGCATCCCTTATGTTAGTTAAAAGCAAAATTATAAATAGGTTTCAGCCAGATGGAATACAACATTTCAGAACACTCAAGGGTTCAGCATATCCTCCTCTTATTCCTTCCCACCCAAAACCCAGCATTTTTTTCACCTGTAAGCCTGGAAAATATTCTACATGATGCATTGGCCCTCTAAACAAGGAATGACAGCAGAAATGACATTAATTAAAATTAAACCAAGTTACTCAAGTTCATAGGTGAAGGCACAACATTTAAGAGCCAACTGTGATGAGGGAGCTTGACCTCCATTCTTTATCATTAGCCAAGGCCAGGCATAACTCAAGTTTTAGATTTTGAGGCTAGTGAGCTGTTTCATAGATAAAGAATATTTGCAGTTCCTAATACAGCAGAGGGATATAACATTTAAAAAAGTCTTTTAGATTTGTCTTTTCAGCTATGGTAAGTTATGACAGTAATTGCCGCTAAATTAACATTTTATGATAAGTGTTGTAGAACTAAATGTAAAACTAAGTATTTATTTCCAGTCTTAAACAATTAATGTTTCATTTTTCAATTATACTAGCATGATGCTTATTTACATGTATACAAAGTACACATTTGCTTCTTCACAAGAACACCAGTGTTGTTCTGAAGAGACTGAATCAAACGACACAGGATTACAGACCTTGAACTGTGGGATTGTCATTTCAAAAGTTTTGTCTGTTATTTGTCCTGAAGGGTCTGCCACTTTTAGTGTCACTGTAACATAAGGATACTTCAGAGACCTGCAGGTGTCAGAGCTCATTGCAACTCCAAGCTTCCATTTAATATCTACAAACTGTGGAGAAGAAAATTGTTGGAAACACTATTAAAGAGATCTAGCGTATCATTGCTATCCTGCGGGACAGATGTTTTTACAGATAATACAGGACATTTAGAGCCCATATCTATATGGTAAACACACGGATTAAATATTCTGAAAACAGTCTTCTGCCATTTCTATTCATACCAGAAGGGGACTGAAAAATACCCAGTAACTTACTTCACTTAATCTGTTTTGCTTATTCAATTATTGTTAATATTTAAGAAGTTCTAGTAACAGGAGCTTAAATCAGAGTTCAACTGGCTTGTTTATCATCCATGGTTTTATGTTCTTTTTAAAAACTTCTAGATCAAATGAATATGAAAGACAGTACACAAAAAAGTAGCAATAATGGGGGAAAAAAGGTATTTATAACTACGTTTTAGATAAAACACATGATAAATACAAATCAAGTATTTTTACCCGTTTGCTAGGCAGAACTGGAATAAAGAAGTGAAAAGAGCCTTTAGAAGCTTGTGATCCAGCTTCAGACAATATTTTTTTCATCTTTAATTCTGTACCCTTAACTGCTGGTATTAGGAACAAAAAACTTAAATGCAGATGCACTTATTTTCTCAATAAATTTAAGAGATGTTGGAAATTGGCAAAGTTTCTTTAAAATAGAGTTTACATTTAAAGGGAGACACACTGATGTCCTGGTGCTACTGACTCTAAAGAACAATTCAAATTAAAACAGTACAAATGTCTGTCACACTGCTACTCACCTTCCCAAGTAGTACTATGAAACAATTTTCAAAAAGCTATAAAATGCATATTTACTATCCAAGCAGTAACATTGGAAAGTTGTTTAGGCTTTAGATGACCTTTGTTGTACATGTTCTGTCTGACTAGACTTTCAGCAACACATACCCAGGAAACCTTTGGGCAGCCAAGATACCATCATTTTCTTGACACTACAACACACACAATGAAGCACTGGCATTTCTGAAAATTGTTAGTTCGATTGTGTTTTGTTAGTTACCTGCCCCACTGTGGCCATGTTTCCTACGTCTTCTGACACACTGACAGATTTGCTCTGCTCATTCCATACATGACGAATAACTTGCACTGCATGTTTAGGCAGTGTGCTGCCTGCACTGCCCAAGGTAGTGACGAGATCCTCTGTAGAGAGGTTGTTTCTGGCTGCTGTGCTGTAGGGATATCCAGAGAACACCACATCAGTTTCATCCTCCAAGATTTAAATAAAGTTTCTCACTTCACCCCAAATAAGCAATTTTTTTCAGCATTATGTTTATATGCACTTTAAAAAAAACACAGTATCAATTTATATTTTAAATGCAGATATTTTACTTCTCTGATAAGATGACTTCTGTATCCACTTTTAATGTGTCTTAATATGCAGAAACCAAGCTTTGCTGGGCTTACACAACATGCAAAATAAACACAAAAATAACCACAGCCTCTGAGTGCTGTTGAAAGTGAAAAGAGCACAATTGAGTCACAGATGTGTGCACAGTGCAGTTAAGACTATTAAACAGTATTATTACTTTAGAAATGAGGCAGCTTAATTACATTTAAGAGAGGGAATTTAAGTACCACCAAGGGGTATGTAAGGACCTCTAAGCAGTGTTGTAATTCGCAATTACAGGAGTCAAACAATGCATAAACCCCCAACTGAAAAGGCAGCAAGTCCAGAGGAAGATCAAGTGCCACTCAATTCTCCCCATGGAAATAGGTCAAAAAAGCAAGTAGAAAAACACTCCAGGTTTGTTCATGCAGAACCCCTCCATCTAATCCCAGGGGCATCAATAAAACAGAAAAAGAGGCCTAGCTGACAGCTTTAAAACTGTGATTAACTTTCTCTTATTTTGCCAGTAATTCCAAAGCTTGCAGACAGCTTCTAAGATGAACAATTTCATCTCTATTTTTTCACTACTAAAACTGAGTCTATGTATGTAGTTACTGCACCTTTTTCTAATTTTAAGAACAAAAACTAAATCCTCTTCCCAGATCAGTTCATTTCATACCCATGTTTGTGTTATTTTGTGCTTACCTAAACAGAAAGGAAACAGCACTAGTTATTTTTGCCAGCTCACCCACACTGATCTCAATCCCAAATGTCTGCAGCCTCTAAAACAAGATGATCAAATCGTTACATGTAATAACAACTTATATGTGAACAAAAGACTCTACACAGACACATACACAAATAAATTGATTTGTGGAATGTATCCTTGTACAACATACAGAGCAATTATATTTGCTTCTAAGTGCTAATATCCAAACTTACCCGACACAGTTCAACTGTATTTACACCTGGGATCTTATGGTTGAGATGTTGAATTATTTGCTCACACTGAGAAGAAAATAAATTTGAAAACATTTCAAATATGTATTTTAATATACAAGACACAGCGAGTTCCAATACTTAAAGATTACAAGAACAGTGAAAGCTGGTTAATGCAAAAATGGACGATAGGATGAGGATGGAAAGGAAAGAATAGTCATGCAAGTGACTGATACTGAAATTATATCAAACCAAGAAGAGCAAATAAGCTCAAACAAAGGTTTTAGGTACTACCTCTATTACTGTTCTTTAATGCATCATTTAGTTCAATAGCCATCCTGTTCAAGTACAGAGCTTTTGATAAGCAGAAGCTGAATGTCTCCTAGATTAGTTAGATTTACATCTGATTAAGATGAGAGAGAAAAACATATCCTTAAAAGTCTGCTGTGATAAAAACAAATTTTAAGCAATCTCAACCTCTCTTAGCAGGACAGGTTTACTTCATGAATCACACAAATTTATGCTATATATACATAACCTTTGCTCTGCAACACACACAAAAAGAAGTAGAAGAGCTTAAACTAAAATGTTTCCAGGAATCTAGGCATGCCAGAAGCCCTCTGTATCCCCCTCATTGCTCTACTTACCAGTTCCGCAAAGAAGTCCTGAGGTATTAAGCTAATCTTATCCACCGCACCGCCAACATCTGCAAGAAACAAGCAGCTGGGATCAGAAGCAAACCCTTCAGGCATTATTATAATAAATCTTCCCTCTCCCTGCAGAAGTCACAGGTCATCACGGGTTTATTTACCCGGCAGGGCTCCCAGCACTGGGCTCCCACTGCCGGCGGCGGTCTCGGCCGCCCCGTGCAGGCTCCGTCTGGCCCCGAGTAGCCCTGAGGACGCCCCCCAACCCCCATCCCTCCCCCCCGCGCCCCCCTCACCGAGCGCCTCCACGGCCCGCGCCAGCAGCACGGCGGGGCCGGCGGCCATGGTGCCGCGCTCCCGACGAGTCCCCGCTTCCGCCACACGCCGCCCGCCCGCCTGACTGGCTCCGGGAGGGGAGGGGCCCGGCTCTTATTGGCTGGCGGGCAGCGCGCATGCGCCGTACGAGGGGCTGGTGCGGGGCGGGGCCTGGCCTTGAACACCTCCAGGGGTGGGGCATCCCCAGCTCCTCTGGGCAACCCGTGCCAGTGCCTCACCGCCCTCAAACGAAAGGATTTATTCCTAGTATCTAATCTAAACCTACCCTCTTTTAGTTTAAAGCCATTCCCCCTTGCCCTGTCACTACACCCCCTGCCAGAGAGTCCCTCGCCAGCTTTCCTGTAGGCCCCCTTTAGGTACTGGGAAGTCACTCTGCAATAAAATTTCCATACTGAATGCAGTGAGTTTGAGGTGTAGCTGAAACACTGAAATGACACTGATCCTTTACCAGTCTCGTGTTTTAAAAACAACAACAAAAATATTCTTAGACTTTTCTAGCAACCAGTTTTACTTCTGGCTTCCCTCTATGTTCTAATGCAACAGCTTTAGTACGCCTATAGTAAGACTGTGACCAAGTAGTGAAATGCAACCAGTCACATAGTAGTGCTGGCTAGTTTTAAATTATCTGTTGGATTTTTTTTTTTTTTAATAAAATGCAATTAAAGAATTTGGAATACATTTCAGGCAAAGGGAAATTCTTGTGGAACATGTTATGTGTGTTTATGAACTTTATACTACATTTATGGCACTTGGCCTCTCCCTTTTAAAGTATCTAATTAAACGTGCAAATGTTTTTGAGTAATATGTGTTTTTATGACCTCATGACTGTCAAAACACTTGAAATGTACATACAGTTAAGATCTGCCTGTGATAGGAGGGACATGATTCAACAATCTTTTTGTTCTTAACTTAGGTAACTACTGCATACTTTTCTATGTTATCTACAGAACTTTGTATGCTATTTTATATTACAATTTCATCAAGTCTTTTACTAGTGCCTTTAGCAATATGACTAATATTTATTATGTTACCTTTCATTCATTTTCCAAGATGTGGAGATAGATGTGAAGTTAAATGTTTTGGTGGTTTGGTAATTATAGAGTAATTCTGAACCATTTGCTGAAATTTTGAGTTGTTTTGGAGTTATTTTGATAGAATCATAGAATATACTGGATCAGAGGGAACCCACAAAGGCCATCAGCTGGGTCCTGGCTCCACACAGGACCACCAAAAATCAGACCCTATGTCTGAGAGCACTGTCCAAATGCTTTTTGAACTCCAGTAGGCTTGGTGCTGTGACCACTGCCCTGGGGAGCCTGTCCCAGTGCCCGACCACCCTCTGCATGAGGAACCTTTTCCTGATACCCAGCCTTACCCTCCCCTGTTCCAGCTCCATGCCATTCCCTCGGGTCCTGTCGCTGTCCCCAGAGAGCAGAGCTCAGCGCCTGCCCCTCCGCTCCCCTTGTGAGGGAGCTGCAGGCCGCCATGAGGCCTCCCCTCAGCCTGCTCTGCTCTGGGCTGAGCAAACCAAGGGACCTCAGCTGCTCCTCACACATCTTACCCTCTAGGCACTTCACCATCTTTGTAGCCCTCCTTTGGATGCTAACAGTTTTATGTTGTTCTTATATTGTGGCACCCAAAACCACACACACAGCACTCAAGGTGACGCTGCACCAGCACAGAGCAGATTGGGACCATCACTTTCCTTGACCAGCTAGCAGTGCTGTACTTGATGCAGCCCAGGGTGCAGTTGGTCCTTTTGGCTGCCAGGGCACACTGCTCTAGTTAAACTTCATAATATTGGGGATTGCCCAGCTGTCTAATTTGTCAAGATCTCTCCATAAGGCCTCTCCACCCCTGAAGGAGCCAACAGCTCCCCTAATTCAGTATCGTCCACAAACATATCTTAAAAAGTTCTTTGAATTTGGAACAGCAGGCTGGTGTAATGATTTCAGTATGTAGTGATTTCAGTTAGTCTGCCCATCCCTAGTATTCAATTGTGTATCTCTAGAAACTGCTGCCTCCTATAAGTATGCTCTTTGAAGGTTCTTGTGGGAGAGGAAGTCAGATGCAGGCTGTGATTGTGATCTGGCAGTAGCGGCTCATCCTTTAGCTAGCCAAGGACTGAAAACCTAACACGAGGAGACACCTTGTATGGAAACAAAGGCAAATCTCATTAGCTAGCAGAAGATTGGATTGTTAAAGAGAGATGCTGTGGTATTCTTTACAGGTCAATGCAGAATCTTCAAACACAGCCATGTAATAACAGTATCCCGCTTAGTAGTAACAGGGGGTAAAATAAAAACTAATTTAGGTAATTTAGTCCATTTCACAAATGTAACATTTACAGAATGGGGTGTTGTTATTAACATCAACGCTCACTAAAGAACTACACCAAGTTTTTCAAAGAGCTCTTCAGGCAGAGGGGAGAAAATCTTTTTGTTAACAGCTGGGTTTCTCCAGTGCTTGGGCCTCCAGTTCTGTGATGTCCCTACCTTTCTTGGCCTCCTGTCAGCTTGGTACTCCTGTCTGTACAGCAGCTAAAAACGCCTTCTCTCACAGGACTTCTTAATTTGCCTGTAAACTGTCAGTTTCTTTCTTTCCTGCCCACTGCCTGCTCATGTGGCTCCAACACCAGCGTCCCACTGCTCCAAGTCCATCTGTCCCTTTGTGTGAAGGCTGGACAGGTATGTGGGACCAGCTCTCAGGCTTCACAAAAATCTTCCCCAAATATCCACTTCAGAAAATGAATGTACAGCTGCTCTCGCAAGCACTCAAATGCTGTGACTGAGAAACAGCTAGCAGTTCCTATACGGTGTGCTGAAGGGACAACGTTCATGTGTTCGCTTCTGTTTCTTACAGCTTTCGCATCATATGGCTCTTGCCTTCCACAGGCTGCCCATGGATTCTCTTGGAGGGGTTCAGGAGGTGAGTACCTGGGCTAAGAGCAGAAATACATATGCAGTTGGGAGGTGGCAACCAGTCTGAACAAAGCAAATTCATGCATGGAGAACTGTTCACCGCACGTTCATGAGGTAGGTAAAAGCACCCTGTAACAAATGAGGTAACCTATTCTTTTAAGGAAGCAAAGAATTACCACAGTTTTCTTGTCAGCTTTCAGTACAAAGTTAGACATTTAGTGAATTGTAAGGCTGCCAGTGAAAAAAGGGGAAAAAAAAAGGCCTTTTAAAATTTTTGGTTCCTCGTTTTTCACCTGTTTGTCAGATAAGCATGAGGCAAACAAATCTCTTGTCCCTTTAGTGACCCCACAGCTCTGAAGAAAACAACATTCCCACAATCTGGAACAAAAAAAAAAACAAACAAAAAAAAAAAAAAAAGAGAAATAAATAAATCTGTTTTGACTGTACCTCTCAGAGTGCCTTTATGCAGCCTGAAGACCCTGGAAGTCATGGGGGCAGAGCTGCGAGGAGCCACAGCTAGACATCAGCTGAAGCCTGTATTGAGTACGGGTTGAGGTGTGGTGTGTTCAGAGCAAGGGGATGGGCAGCCCTAGCAGGACTGGGGAATCTGTTTATACACTTTACTTCCTTTTTTGTTCTTTTCTGAGATAATTTGAAAGGAGGTATAACACTAAATTAGATATACATATTATATGCGTATTATATATATATATATTATGCTGTGTTTGATCTTAGGTGAAAGGTCAAGATGGGGTATGTATATGCTCCTGAGATCCTGAGATGGGAAAGTATGAGGGGATTTGAAGCTTTAGAAGAGAAAATGCAAAACATTTGTTTTATTACATCTCAGTGGATCCCTTGAGGACTTCACTAACCGAGTCCGTGCTGATAGTCTGAAGGCTGAGGAGGACTTAAGTCTTTTGGGGAAACTTGCTGCTATAATTAGCGCATCATAGAACCCATTCCCTTTGAACCTTTTCATTAATCTTTATTACTCTTTATTAAGAGCTAATCATTGTTTCGTTAATTTTTATTGTTCTGTGGTCACCGTGCTTCTGCGAACGTTTAAACACTACACCTTAATCATTAAAGAAACAACAGCTCCACACCCCTTTTCTCCAATAAAATAACTTTTATTCAGTGCCATGACGGGTTTTAATTTTGGGCCGTTGGGGAAGGAAGGGGCCGTTGGGGAAGGAAGGGGCCGTTGGAGCGCGGCGCCCCCCGGCGGCTGCCGCTCGCCATGCCGGCTCCGACTGGCGGGCGGGGCGGCCGAGGCACCGGCCGTCGCCTCGCCGGGAGAGCCCACTGCCGGGGGGGAGCCGAGCAAGGACCGAGGGGACAATCCTCCGTTTATCCCCATCCGGGAGCAGCCGCGAATAACTAGGCGATCATGATGGGATTCATCGCCTTGTTTCGCTGCTGCTGAGGGCGGGAGGGGCGTGTGTGAGGACGAGCAAAGGGCGGGTTCCCCCTGGGGGTCCCCCCCGGAGCCGCCCGTCGCGGTGGCGCGGTCCCGGGTGCGGGCTGAGCGCGGCGGCGTGAGGCGCTGTCAGCCGCCGGGGCCGTGCCGCCGCCATGGAGCCGCACCGCTGGCTGCCCCTGGAGGCCAACCCCGACGTGAGTGGCCCGGGGACGGGCACGGGGGCTGCCCGCGGGCCGGGGAGGGGGCGGTGAGGGGAAGGGGAGGGCGGTCAGCGGGGCCTGGCGGTGCTGCGGGGCGTGGGGGGCGCGTGTGTGTGCATGGGGGGGCTGCCCCTCAGGCCTGGCCGCGTTCGTAACCCTCCCCCCTCTGTTTTCTGCTCTCTTTCCAGGTCACGAATCAGGTAAGCAGCGTTGGTGTGAGGTAACCTTTAGGCCCTCTGCAGCTCCAGGCCTTTCGTTTCCTGCAGTAGGGGCTCCCGCTGCCCCCACGAGAGTAAGTCCCGGGGTGCTTGTGCGCTGCCTGCTGCTCTTGGACCTTACTGGGACCTCCTGTGCAGCCTCCGAGTACAGGGTGTAACGTAAAAAGCCTGTATAAAACGCAAACGGTAAAGGAAAAGAGAATAAACGTGCTCCGCAGATGTGAGACAATCAGCCTGTTAACGTAACATAATCTCTGATATGTTTCAGGGAGGGCTTTATCTTATTAATTATTGATTAAAACGTTGTTATATTTATATGTATTATGGATCTGTACG